CTTTCTCTACTAAGAACTCTTTTTTTAAATGTGGTTTGTCATTGTAGCACTTTTTACAACGAGACTATACTTGAACAGTTCCAGACTGTACATACTGTATGAAGCTTATCCTCTGAAGGGGGGTTTCTTATTTCTATGTGGAATTTCCTATTTTGCAGTGTCCTGTAAATAAAGATTAAATTCCACCCTGAAAAAAAAAAAGACTAATCAATAAAACAATAAATAAAAAAGGTAGCTGGCCTGGCATGGTAGTTCATGCCTCTAATCCTCCTAGAGACGTCACTCTAGAAGGCTGATACAGGAGGATCACAAGTTCCAAACCAGTCTGGCAGTCTGGGCATTTCAAGACTTTCTCTCAAAATGAAAAGTAGAAGAAGAAAAAAGGACTTTTTTCTAAAGCAGTTTAAGGTGTGCGCCATGACTGAGGGTGGATTTTGGTTTCATCTCCAGCTTCCCGGTTGGCTGGGTGATGTGGGTGGAGTTGGGGGACCTGTCTCTATGGTAACTAAATGGAGATGAGATCACCCTCTGCGCTGCAGATCACAGTCTCACAGTCCAGGGTCAGGCATATCCTCAGGGAATAGCAAGGGCCCTGCTGCCCCTGCCTGTGGCCTGCTGCCCTCCCCAGTATTTCCATTGTCCACACAAAGCAATACCCCTGCTTTTCTACCTGGTGCTGGGTCAGCAATGGGGTGCAAGCTGCCCCTCTGACCTCTCCGATCCTGGGCTCCCGTGGGGCCATCAGGAGGTCATCGCACCCTACAGACCACAGCCCCAGCTTGCGACACTGCAGTGTGGGGCAGCATAGTCCCGGGCATCTTACCTGGAACCCTCTTCCGCCTGGTCTCCCATCCGTCCATCCATTTCCCAAACTCAGTGTACTCGTGTTCTTTAAAGGTCGGGCTCTCGCTCTGCAAAGATGGACACAGGATGATCAAAGTACAGAGAGGACGTGTAAGTGTTTCAAAAATTTTACAGTAAAAGTCACATTGCTGGGCTGGGCGTGGTGGCGCACTCCTGTGATCCCAGCACTCGGGAGGCTGAGGCAGGAAGGCTGAAAGCAGTCTGGGCTGCACGGTGAGATCCAGTCTCAAAAAATACACATGGCCATGATGCACAGTGTGTGGCTCTCAGGCCCCACACACAGGCAGGTCTGAGCCACGCTGCCACCTAGGTCTGTCTACACCAGTGTTCCCAGGGCACAGTGGCAGGGGGCAATACCTTTATGAGGTTTTCAGCAGGAGCAAAAAAGTCATCTGTTGCAAATAAAACCTAGATGAAGAAAAACAGAAGCAAAGATGAAATAACCACATATTTGAAACCACTGTATTTCAGACCAGTGAGATAGCTCAGCAGACTAAGTGCCTGCTTAGGCAAGCATAGGGAGCAGGGCTCGATCCCTGCTCCCATATGCTGTGCTGGCCCTGCCCTTAGGGAGCACTGAGCCAGCAATAGAGTCTGGGCTTTGTGGCACACCTGTAATCCCAGAGCTGGAGAGGCTGAAAACAGGAGGATCACTATGAGTCAGAGCTGCATAGTGAGACCCTGTACCAAATACACAAAGTGAAGATGATAGATAGATAGATAGATAGATAGATAGATAGATAGATAGATAGATAGATAGATGTATATTTCAGTGCCTAGTGACACATGGCAGACTATGGTGAGATAGGATTGTGGCACTGCCGGGGGAAGAAGCACGGTGCGCATCCGAGCCACACAGTTTGCAGAGACTTACACCTCCCTGCTCCCCTCTCTTCTTCCTGCCCTTTTCTCTCTGCCCCATGAGGGGGCAGCATATCTGAGAAGCTCATATCTGAAGAGCAACCAGTCCAACTTCCTCCCTAGTGTGGTGGTGATGGTGATACAAGGACTTGAACCCAGGACCTTGGCATTGAGCTTCATCCCCACCTTTTTTCCTTCTGGTATTTTGAGACAGGCTCTTGCTATATGTTTTGCACTGGCCTTGAACTCATTATAGTGCCTAGGCTGGCCTCAAATAAGAGGAGATCTTCCTGCCTCAGCTTTCTGAGTGTTCGGGTTACAGGTGTGTGCCAGCCACACCCAGCTGGGTTTGAACTCTTGGTCCTCCTACCTCAGCCTGCTTAGTGGTCAACTTTCTCCTTTTCAAGAACCAAAGGCCTTGGAGTCTATGGTTCTCCCACAAACAAAGCAATGAAAAAGAGAAAGAAAAACTGAAAGAAAAAAAAAAAAGAAAGAAGGAAGGAAAGTAGGAAGGGGGAGGGGAACGAAGGGTCCCACAGGTCACACCAGGACATGCTTCCCCGAAGGTGGCTGTCCTAGAAGGGTGTCCACCAGCACAGCATGGTAACAGGCGAGGCTGGGGTCATAACCAAGTATCAGCTGGACGCCAATTGCCCAACCACCCAACAGCCCCAGAGCCAGAGGACCACAGACAGCAGCCTCGAGAGGCAGAGTCCAGGACTCCGAGGGTGGACATGGCTTTCAGGGCCCCAGTGGCCTTGGCTGTCCCCTGTCCCCCTGAACTACTTCAGCTTGGAGGTGGGCTGTGAGACCCGGGGGTAGCACAAGTCTTCCCTCTGCACCCTGCAGAGGTTTCTGTTCCTGGCAGCCCCGTCCTCTGCCCCTGGAGTCCATCCAGCTCCATAGTAATTTGCACCACTCTCCTTGCACCCTCCCTGTAACCAACCTTCTTACAGGAGGCAGTGGGGCACACCTGTCATCCCAGCACTCTGGAAGGCTGAGGCAGGAGGATCCAAATTTCCATATCAGCCCCGGCAAATTAGTGACTTAGTGAGACCCTTAATTAAATAAACGAAATAAAATCAAATACAGCTGGGGGTGAATTTCAGTGCAAAAGTCCTGGGTTCAATACCCTGGACTGTCAAAAGAAAAGAAAAAAAAAAAAAAGTCAAGGCAAAGCTGCCCTTGCTGGGGGTTGTCTCCCCAAAAGAGAAAACCTTTCGGGGGAGAGCAGGGAGAATGAGCTTTCTCAGCATGCATTGCTCCAGCCCAGTTCGAGCCGACCCACTTTGTGGGTGCCCTGCCATAGGAATGGGGACCCCCGCTTGCCTTCCCTCCGACGGCCTCGCACGCCATGTCCACCAGCTGGGTGAAGTCCACGAAGCGGGTGAGCTTACCCTCCTGCGGGGTGTCTGCCATGCTCGCTGGAAGGCAGAGGCAGGAGGAGTCAGACCCGTCCACACCCTGGCGGGACCCCAGCATAGGCCCTGCTGCCCTCCGCGGACCTGGACTAAAGGAATGGGGATGGGAGGCATCCACTCAATGCATGGACCCCTAGCTGGGCTCTGTCTACGCGTTCTGCCCCACAGCCAGGCTTTGGGTTCTGATCAGAAAGGGGGACATGACTCCCCCTCAGTCACACTGAAGCGGCTCCTCCGCACATGCAATGGGCACACACTGCTAAGCAGCTGTGAGAGGCCCTGGGTACGTCTGGGTCCCAGCTGAGAAGGCGCCACCTACAGGAGCCAAAGAGGTTTCTCCTTGCAAGATTCCAACCCTGCCCCGTGGGCTGGGGTGCCGCTCTGAGGCGCTGTGTTTGCCAGGCATGCAAAGGTCCTGGGTTCATCCCAACTTCAGTTCTTGTAAGCCCGTCACAGGGGCTTTTGAGGAACCCAGTCCAGTTTCCCAGCAACCCTGGTTTGCGGCTGAGGAAGCCGAGGCTTGGAGAAGCAGAGCCTGACCCAAGGGCCTGGGCCAGGTTAGAGGATGCGGGCTGGCCTGACCCTGCACTCTCGCCCTCTGCCTGGTCTTGCATTCCTCTTTTTTCTGTCTATCACGTGAAATGGAGAAAACCACTTAAAAAAACTAAGGTCTTACTAGGGAATATTCTTAGGCTGTGGTGGCCCACACCTGCAATCTAGGGGAGGCTGAGGCAGGATAGCAAGTCATTATTCTTACAAAAGAAGAATTAGAGCCAAAGGGCCTGAGACACCAAGTCTGCCTCAGTAATGGGATTAATCAAGGACACATTTTTTCCCATGAAGCCTCTGCTCCAGGTTTACGGGAAGGCCGAGAATCTGCCCTCAGGAATGGGGATGGGAGGCATCCACTCAAGCTCAATTTAAACCCGAGCTCATCCGTCTAAGCTGTGGGTGTTGGGCCTTCTACCCTCATAGCAGAAGTGAGTTCAGATGCAGTCTTCACAGAGCTCACCCTCACCCAGGAGTGTGAAGCCCAGCGTTCAAAATTGGATGTTTTGCTCCGCACAAGCTAGTCGGGGTCCCGTGGTGCACGGCACCAGCCCAGAAAGAATTTATAGGGGACAGGAGTCAGTACGGAACTTCCGGACCTGCTGGCCCCTGTGATGTCACAAGAGCTGCAGAGCCCGAGCTGGAGCAGCCCTTGTCCTCCTCGGCTCTCTGCCAACCTCGACAGCCAGACCTGCTACTCCCAGGAGTATCACCCAGCTGGTGCCAGGCCCTTGACAACCCCGAGAAAGCCACTGCCTGCCTACCCAGGCCTGAACTCCAGCGTCCCACCTGCCAGTACCCTGAGCCAAGGCTGCATCTCTGGGACAGGTACAGTGGCACACACTTGTAATCCCTGCACTCAGAAGGCTGAGGTAGAGCGATCACAAATTTGAGTGCAGCCCAGGCAACTCAGCCACTTAGCAAGACCCAGCTCAAAAAATAGTAAAGGGCTTGAGAAAGTGGCTCCATGCGAAGGCCTTGGGTTTAATCCCCAGAATGAAACAGCAAAAACAACAGCACGAATTTCCAGGACCCTGTTGGCACTGGATCAGGCTTCAGGAATAAGATTCTCGGAGTCCCACCAACCAATAAGGTAGCTGCTAGCTATTCAAAATTAAAATTCACTTAATTAAAATCAAGTGGAATTAAAAATTTAGATCCTTTGTCCCAGGAGCTGCTAACATGCAGAAAAGCTCTGTGGGAGACAGAGCGGAGAAGGGGAGGTGGAGAGAGGACACCCTCAGAACCAGGCCAGCCCCTCCTGTGGCCCCACAAGGGCTCCTTCTCTAGGCTCTTCCTGAGGGACCCTAGCAACTTCCTGTGCCAGGGATGGAGCACTCAGGACGGAAGATACTACCACCCCATGGTCACAGCCACCCTGTCCAGGAGGTAAAGGGGTAGTCCATGGAAATGAGCAGTGGGGGTGTCCTTTCCCAAAGGCAGCCTACCCATGATAACTCCCTCCCCACAACACTGAGTGGCCTCACAGGATCAGCCTCCACAGTGTGCCCTGAACTACACGTCTCTGGGCTCCTGGGCAAGCTGGGGTCAGCACCAAGGGTCAGCACCAAGGATCTGCCCACCAGATCCACCTTTCCAGAGCTCCACATTCCATGCCTGAGTGACAGGCAGCTTTCTGTTATGGGTGCAAATCGAGGTGGTAACAAGGAGGGAGCAGGAAAGATGTAAGACTGAGTCTATCAACTTGAGTAAGATACTCAACTAAGTTGCCTCAGGAATTCCATGCCTTAGGGTGTGGGAGGCCCACCCCGGATGGTTTGTAGCTTGGGCAGTGTAAAGGGGAAATGAGGAAGGACAAATCTACTTCTGGTTCCCAGTGTAGACTCTTCAACCTTCCATCACAGACCTGCTGGCCTCCTGATAGGGCCCACGTGGGACATTGCAGTGAGCTCCAGACCTCTGATTGGATCCTTTGGTCTCCAGCATGCACATGCCCTCAGCGCTCTTCCACATCCCACTTGTAGTTGACCATCATCAGCTGATCTTGTAAATTCTTGTATATGTGTGTATCTTGTGTTGTATCTGTTTCTCAAATAGGCACTGATACAAAAGGCCTATCTTAGAGGAGCAGGTTACATGTTCCTCTTAAGTCTCTTGGATGGTGGCATCTTCAAAGCACAGCAGAGCACAGCCATTCTTCTGGTGATGTCCATTTGATTGGCATGGGAGGGACCTGGAGGATTAGTGGAACTCACTTCCAGGGGTGTCTAGGTGGGTCCTAGAAGGTGACTTGCAGGTTTCCATCTGCTGCCCCTTCGGCTCTGGCTACTCCCCTGCTCCTCTGCTTCCCAACCACCATGAATGGAGAAGGTTTGCTCTTCTTCCATGATGCTTCTCCCTTGGAGCAGCCAACCATGGACTAAATGCCCTGAAATCATGAGCCAAATAATCATCTTCTGCTTTCAGTTATGTCTCAGCAAGGGAAAGCTGACTGGCACGTCCTCCTAGCTGGGATGTAAAACAGAGGGAGACAGAAAGAGAGAAAACCCAGTCCCCTTGAAGAACACTCCCCTGACCCAAGACCTCCCACCCCCTTTCTGTTTTCACCACCTCCCCATAGCACCTCCCTCAGGAACCAGCCTCAAACAAAGCACCCCTTGGCAAGTCTCAGGACCCTACCCACCTACAGCAACTGCTACCCACCTCAGACAGCACCGGTGCATGCCCCAAGCAAGGGGCAGGCAGACTCCAGGGACTGTGACTCTCGCCTTGCCGAGCCAGGGTCTCGTGGAATCCCTTCAGACTGTGGGCACCACTTCCTGCACCCAGGCTTCAGTAGTCTGCGACTCTCTCCCTCACCCTCTCTCTCTGGCTCTGGCTTTTCAGAACTGCCTGTGGGGACCTGCACCCCAGCAAGGACCATGACCTGGAGCATGTGAGAAAGTAGACTCCCCAGGGGGCTCTGGGGGACACTCATCATCGCTACTGCACCCAGAAGGGGTCCCAGGCCACACAGTCAGAAGCCAGGCTCAGACACCAAGGGTGGTGCAGGCTGCATTAAACCACCACCCCCAGGTGTGTGCTGACCCCACTTTGGGACCCTGGTGCTACCTCTTGAATATGCCCAGCTGCATCCTGGCCTCAGGAGACAGCTCCAGAGAAGGCCCCTGCACGGGCTCCCTGGAGCCTTGCATCTGCTCCATTGGAGACTCATGTGCCTCAATCTACAGTTACTGTTTAGAGCCCCTGGGTTCAAGGGTGATTAGTTATGCAACAAAAGCTAACAGGAGACTACTGGGGACCCTGCCATCCTCAGGAAGCACAGTTTCCTTCTGCCATAGAAATCAAGAAATGCATGTTTGCCCTGCTCCTAAATGCATGCAATGCTACTGTGGAGTGTTATGCAGGTTGCTATCATTTTTTAGATTTGTTCAGTGTGCAACTTGTGCACTCCACGTGGTCCCCTGGTCCCCAGGCTCTGAGTGGGAAGCTAAATGATTGCAGTCTGACCGGCTTCCATGGCAACAGTAGCAGTAACCTAGCAACAGCATCTGCAGCCAGGAGGAACGGGGCAGGCCCATCTGCAGCCCGATGGTGGGCTTTGTTCTGTCGGGCCTTTGCTGTGTGTTCCCAGAGTGCTTTCTGCAGATTCCTTTTGTGCGTCCCCTTGCCAGGCTCCTACCTTCCTGCTCACAGGCAAGGCGCACCTGGCTCTGCCTGGCTCAGGGCCCTGAATGGAGCGGGGTGTGTGCAGCTGAGCAGCTTCATGCCCATCGGGGGGGACGGGAGCAGGGAGGGGCGCACTTTCAAACGCCGTGGCCTGGCACATGGGCAGATGGGACAGCAGCATCAAGCCACCCCTCAGGGAGGACCGTGAGGCTGGAGAAGACTGAGGAAGACAACGGGATCCAGAGAGAACCCCAACCTCCTCCCCATCTACCCCACCCTGAGGGTCCTCCTTCCCCAGCTCCCCAGCTGCTCTTTGTTTTTTCTGAGCCTCTCCCTGCCTCTGCTTCTTACACACTTATGGACCCTCGCGCGCGCACACATGCACACGCGCGCGCACACACACCATCCACCTCTCGTCCTGAGCACCAGCCTCAAGGCCAGCCTCCGCACGCCTGCCGCGTCGCTGCCCTCGTGCTCCACTAGGTGGCAGTGCGTCCCCACAGAGCTGCACTCCTCCGAGTCCAGCCCTCAGGCTTTCTGCCAGGGCATCCTGCGGTCACACAGCCAGCCATCCCCGAGCTGCGAGCCACGTGGGAACAGATTCAGGGCAGTGCTTGGCTCTACTCTCAGGTGCTTGGATCCTACCAGAGTCGGGTCAGAGCCATTATCATCGTGTAGGGGACGCCAGCGGGGCGCAAAGGAAGGCTGAGCGTCTTCCGTGTTGGGTCTCGGCCCCCTCCCGCCCACTGAGAGCTGAGCAAGCCTGCGCCTCAGGCCCTCCAGGCAGAGTGGGTGAAGGCGGGCGAGCAGACCTGTCCTTGTGACCCAGGGTGGCTCGCCACACACACTTCACCAGCAAGATGAGCCACAACAAAGGCCCACAGGGTGTCCTGGGAGAGCTTGGGGAGCTGTCACAGACCCTTGGGGTCTGTACTGCCTGTGTTTGTGTGCGCTGTCTCTGGAAATGAGGGGAGGGAAGTCTTTACTAGGAATCTTGAGTGGAAACTAAGAAGTGTGGGTGACTGGACAGGCACCCCGGGTCCCCACCCCATGTCAGCTGCACCTGGAGCATCGGGACAGAGCCAGGCTGATGGGGGGTCACTCCGGTCAGGGTGTAGGAGGCCGTGCTTGGACCTTGCCTTTGTTCCTCTTCTGGCCCTTTCCTTGCTGCCTTTTGGACAGACCCCCATGCCAGAGAGTGGAATGCACCCGGGTTCACAGACAGTGGGTGAGAAATCAAGACAAAGAAGATGTCGTGCCCTGAAAACCACAGTGAATCCAGGCCTGGTAGCGCATACCTGTAAGCTCAGGAGGCTGAGGCAGGAGGATCACCCGCTGTCCAAGGTCAGCCTGAGCTACATAGCAAGCCCCTGTCTCAGAAAACAAACATGGACCAGGGAGATAGCTCAGTGGTCTAAGTGCCTGTCTGGCAAGTGCAAAGACTCGAGTTCAATCCCTGGAACCACATGCCATGTTGCAGTGCTGGCCACCAAAACTGGGTAGTGGCACTCGCCTGTAGTCCCAGCTCTGGGGATGCTGACACGGGAGAATCACTATGAGCCCGAGCTGTGTGGTGAGACCCTGTACCAAAATAATAAAAAAAAAAAAGTGCCTGCCCTGCCCCCAGGGTGTGCTGAGACAGCCATTGAGACTCGGCATGGTGGCACACACCTGTAATCCAGTGCTTGGGAGGCTGAAAACAGGAGGGTCACTATGAGCCTGGTCTGTGTAATGCGACCCTGTAGACCATGTACTAAATACATAAAACAAACTAAAATTTAAAAAAAAAGAAAACACACATATAGGCACACATAGCAAGCAGCTTTGTTTTGACTGTAATGCCCTGAATCCAAGGGCCCAGCTAGACCCTGCACAAATGTATGACCCTCAAATGCCTTGAAGTAATAAAACATCTCAGCTTTGGGCCCCTGAGTTTGAGGTGTTTTGTTCCACAGCAATAGATAACTAATACATCTTTTAAGGCCATTAGGAGAACCAAATAACACCCTTCATTCCAGAGTAAAGTTTAGAGAATTTATTTTTATATTCTTGACATCTGAGTTTGAAGCAAAGCAAATTTGGTTCCATTTGCATAGTAGTGAAGAAAAGGAAGCTATTTTTCGGTATAATTTATAGGCACTCAGCTGTCTTCCATATGGAAATGAAGAGGTGACCCGCCCCAGTCGCCACTGTTCACACTGAGCTGCTGCAGTACCCACAGACGCAAATTCCTGGTTGGCCCTGGGCAACATACCCACGGAGAGGCAACCATGAGTAGCACTTTCCCTGCAGACCTCGCTACAATGCAGGAGATAAGCTCCACTTCTTCAGAAATAACCCCCAGTGAAGGCTGTTTCCCTTCTTAGGGTCACTGTGCTCTGGGGGGGTTGGGCAGAGCCTGGAACGTCTTCCCTGGGTGGGGGTGGTGGGACCCGGCGCCCCGGGCTCACACGCTCTCCTTGTCGAACTCGCACATGAAGTACATAGTGATGTGGCAGGCCACGTCGTTCCAGCCGCCGGAGGCCACCATCTCCACACAGTCCTCCTCGTCGTAGGCGTTATTGGGCTCCCCGCTGCGCCACTTGCTGAAGGTCTGCATCGGGGAGCGGTCGGAGTACATGAAGGCGCCCTCGCGCTCCAGGTCATTGATGCCGATGAAGACGCGTGCCAGGCCGGCCTGCGCCAGGTATGCGGCCATCAGCCCATTGGCCGCCTCGTCCTTGGGCATGCCCAGTGTGCCCCCACGGCCCTGGCAGGACAGCTGGGCATCTGCATACCGCTTCTCCTCCTTCACCAGCAGGTAGATCTTGCTGTCCGTCTCGCGCACGCCGGCAACAGCTGCGGGGGAGGGCAGGGCTGAAAGGCAGCGCTGGCATCTCTGTGATCACACTTACTTGCCACACTCGGGTCGCACACTCGCGGCAGGTGGGCGCTGCCCAGGGAGGTGGAGGCTCAGGGAGCGGAGGTGCGGGAGACAGCGCCCGGAGCCCCACCTACCGTTTTTGATGAACTTTAACTCCGTGGTCAGCTGGGTGACCTGGTTGTCCATCTCACCAATGGCCTTCCGGAGCTGGCTGCACTCACATGGGAGACCTGTGGGGATCCAGCATGACCCCAGACACCAGGCTCAGGAGAGGAAGCACTGCCTCCCCAGATGCATAAATCTACTTGAACCAAGCAGGCATTGGGGCTGGGGTGACAATTTCATGCTTATCCTTGGGGCACGGAGAGGCCGTGGATGGTCATCAGGGTCAGCAGGGGTGATAGGGAACACTGTGTTTATATATTAAGATTACAGTGAAAGAATCTCCCGTAAAAGCCTCCCCTCACTTTGAGCACACTCATCCCATCATCCTTGCCACTTTCTGCAGCAGCTCTGGAGTTTTCTTTCCTGAGGTTCTTTACTAGGTGTGATCACAAATACAGTGAAACCAAGAAAGAACAGCAGTGACTGCTACTGCTGAGCACCATCCAACCGACAGGCAGGCTGGTAAAAACCCAACACTGTGTCCTTGTCCACCTTAGTCACTGGATCTGGCACTGTGCAACTCCTGGCTATTCCTCAAAGTTGCCATGACCATGAAAGGGAGATATTTTAAATCCATTTAGGACATCGAGGCAGCCAGGACAGCACAGCTAAAGATCCTCAGGAAACAGGACTCCAGAAGTGCTGCAGGAAGTGGCAAAGGTGGTGGAACAAGTGTGTGAAGTGGGGGGAGGATTGCAAGGGGGCCTGTGGCCCTGAGTCTTTCACCCTAATCAACTCTTTATTTATTCAGACGGTGTTCTTCATTGTCCCTTGCATGCTAAGTGCTGCTCAACTGCATTGGGAAGACAGTGGGGTGGGGGCAGGGAGGGCTGCAGAGAGGATGTGAGGGTCTCAGAGTGCCATTGGCAGAGCCCTAGGAGAGACTCAGGGGGCCGGCAGGGGACATTCTCCAGGGCATCTGGGGGAACAGAGGCACAGCCTGCTGGAGCATGTCCAGTCAGGAGGTCCCACCATGGGTGACAATTGGGACCTTCAGGAGCTGCGGAAGGACTCGGACATCTCAGCCAGATCAGGGTAGCACACAGATCACAGGGAGGCCAAGAGGGAGGGGCAGGGCTTTCAGACCCACTTGGCTTGGTTTTTAATTTTTAATTGCTTTTCATTTTAGTTTAGTGGGGCTGGGGAGATGGCTCAGTGGAATAAGTGCTTCGCTGGCAAGCACAAGGGCCTGAGTTCAATCCCCGGTTCCAAAAAAAAAAAGATAGGCATTTGAGTTTGGTTTCCTTGTATTCCAGTACAGTCCTGGGGACTGAGCCCAAGGACTCCCACTGGGCTATATCCCTGGCCTGTTTTTATTGACTCTTTAATATTTTTTTTTGGCACCAGAAACCAAACTCAGGACCTTGTGTTTGTCAGGCAGGGCCCTGGGCCACTGAGCTATCTCCCCAGCAGGGACTCGATGCTATGTCCTCAGCTTGCCCAGGCTGCTTGCGCTGGCATCCTCCACCCTCCACCTCCTGAGAACTGGGTTGGCAGACATATACCACCACTCCTGGCTTGATCAATTACATTTTTCAAACTACAATTCTAGAACATTTCAAATATTTCACAGGTCACATTTTTGACCCTGTCCACCATACCTGGTTCTCCAAGAGGGCCAGGGGGTCCTATGTCACCCACCTCACCTTTGTCACCTGAAAGAGAAAAGCAGAATACGAGTCACCAACCAGAGGTCATGCGTCCCCTGGGGGGATGCAAAGTGCCACAGTGGAGCAGTGTTTCTCTTGTGGCCCTGGTGCTGTGAACGTGGGCCACACCCCTGCCATGGCACCTCCAGTGTCACCTAAAGAGACCCTGCAGGCGGCAGCTCAGGAGCAGGTGGCCCCTGACCGAGACCCTACATCATGAAAAGCCTGGTAGAAGTTGGGATGGTGAGCCTGGACTCGGGCTTGCTGCTAGCCAGGCGGGGGCAGTCAGTGCTGAGAACCCCATGCTGTACCCCGGGCCCTCTGGACACCCCCCAATAGGGCACTGTAGCCTGGAAGGGGCCCAGACACAGGGGCCCAGCTCAATCTTCTCATGAATAGGACCAGCCACAACTTTTCTCTGCTTATAAAACTTGGAGATGAAGGAGGCTGTGGTGACACATGCCTCTGATCTCAGCACTCAGGAGGCTGAAGCAGAAGGATCTCAGCTAGTTTGAGGACAGCCTGGGTACCTAGTGAGTTCAAGGTCAGCCTGAATTAATGAGACCCTGTCTCAAAGAAGGAGGGGAAGGCGTGGAGGAAGGAGGGAGGAAAAGGAGGAGGTTGGGGGAGAATCACACTGTAAATACCTTTGGCACCGATTGGACCAATTTTGCCGTGGCGACCTACACTGCCTTTCTGTCCTTTGTCCCCCATGTCTCCTAAAGAAAATGAGATCAGGTTTGTTGTCGCACAGGTGACCTGACACACACCTGCTTTCACCATCGTGGCGTGTGATGGCTGACCCAGCACACTCCTCTTTATCACACACTGGAAGAAACTAAGCACGTCACTGTGCCTCCTCACTCCAGGTCCCCTACCCGACCACCCCTGTAGCCCTCACAGGCAGTGGGCACCGAGGGCCCTAGCGACCTCCCTGCCACCACGGTGGGAAGGAGAGGCTCTGCCCACACCACAGCAGTGATCCCGCCCACCAAACCAGGGGCCTGAGCACAGACACGGCTGGGGACACGTGCACAGGGTCCCTGGGACTAGGAACAGGCAGCTTCCCGCTCCAGCCTCGCACAGGTCTGGGTACTCCACGCGGAGACCGCACACTGGTGGCACATCAGTCTGTCTGCGAGGCCTGCAGCTGCAGGCGTGAGCCTAGGCAGCAGGGGGCGCTCGCTTCGCCGGCTTTGTCCTTAGGAAGAGGACCCAGGAGCAGGAGTCGGACCCAGGAGCGACGAAGGTTCAACCCCCTCTGCCCCTCACCCATCCCCCACCCCTCACCCCTAACTACCCCCTCTCTGGGGCGCAGCTTGTGCTGGGCGGGAGCTGCCCAGTCTCCACATGCCATTGAGGGGCCTCAGCCTCAGGTCCCCAGGAGCCCTCTGAAGGGCGACTCCCCAGGCCCCAGGGAAGGGCCAGCGAAGGGTGCACACTGAGCAGCTCTCTCCACTGGAACCCTTCAGCACAGACTCAGCCCTGGTGCCCTTCGCCCTAGCTGAGGTGGCTCACATTGCAGAGATATCCCAAGACATTAAACTTGCAGAAGTCTTTCTAGCCAGGCATGGTGGTGCACACCTGGAATCCCAGCGCTTGGGAGGCTGAGGCAGGAGGATCTCAGCTAGTTTGAGGCCAACCTAGTGAGTTCAAGGCTAGTCTGAACTACATTGTGAGACCCATCTCAAACAAACAAGCAAGTAATAAAAGTAATTATATCCTAAACAGATAGCTGTCCCTTACGTGAGCACCTGCTATGTACTATGTAACTCAGCTTCTCTATATGTGTGTTTCAGTTGCCACATGTGTCCTAATTGCTTTGCCCCACTGCTGTTACATGTATGAACAGGTCCCTTACACATATGTACCAGCTCCTTCGCATGTAATCTGACCTCAGCACATTCCCATGGGGATTCAGAATTAAACCACTTTGCTGATGTGGACAGGGAGCACCCTGTCCAAAGCCCCCACTGTCCATCCAAGCCACTGTCACAGCTGTGCCCACCTCACAGGATGCACACTCAGGAACCCGGGCACGGCAGCCTATTTCCATGGTTCAGGGTGGCCAGGAGCTGGGGCCCCGTCACCCTCAGTCTCTGTCCCCTCCACCACCACCCTTGCCTCCAGGAGCTGTAGATACCTTTCTCTCCTGTAGGGCCGACTCTTCCAGGCCGTCCTGGGGCTCCTTTGTCCCCCTTCTCTCCCACATCCCCTGCAGAAAGGAAATCATAGCTGTTTAGCACTGTTCTGGCCAGCACAGGACTGCAGGGTGCCTAAGGGACAGCACAGCCCATCCTGAGGTGCAGTTGCCGGGCACCCTGCCCCCCAGCTGCCGAAGGCACAAACACCCCTATCTCCTCGGCAGGGCTCCCCACGAGGCATGTGCCCTGCACGGCTCCTGCTGGGACCAGAGGCCACACTGGTCCTGCTCCAAAGCACACTCGCCAGGTACAAAATGGAAGTCTGAATGACTAGCAGAGATTCCCTGCAAAGTGGGCCGCAGTGGTGCGTGGAGGGGTGGGGCCACAGGAGGCAGGGTGGGGCAGAGCAGCTCCATCCCAGCCTCCCCTGCCCGGTCTAGTCCTTACCAAGATCATCTTCCTAAAACACAAATCAGACTGTTTCTCCCTTCTCAAAAGATATATAACGCCACCAATGGAGCCAGGGATGGTAGTGCAAGCTTGTAATTCTAGCACTAGTGAGGCTGAGGCAGGAAGGTCACTGGGAGTTTGAGGCGAGCCCGGGCTACCTGGTGAGCTCAGGGCCAGCCTAGACCACAGAGCAAGAAACTGTCTAGCAAAAAAGAAAAAAGGCTAAATTCAGTTATAGGTGACATCCACCATGCAGAGTCTTCCTGGATGACACCTTTCTTGAACCCAGGTCTCTGCTGTGCCGCTTGATACATCGGTGCACTCACCCAGGCTCTACCTTCTCAGCCAGACTAGCTGTTCTGACTGGAGCTTATACTGCTCACAGCCAGCTTCCTGCAGCCTGGCCTCCCTCCTGGGGCAGCCCAGCCCTCCACACATCTCCCCCTAGAGACCTGCACAGAAAGAGGGCGGCTGAGTGTGTGTGCATGTGCCTGCGCACACCTGCATGCGTGCATGCATGCGTATGTGTGTGTGTGTGTGTGCGCGCGCGTGCACGCAGACCTGTGAACCACATAAGAAGTCAACATTTTAGTGAATTTTAATTTGCTGTAATTTTCCACATCTGCTTTGATCTGTGAATGGCAATAATAGATTCCTCAACAAAATCTTCAAACATGGAAATCCAGCCCAATAGATGAGACAGTCAATGTTTTGCATTTTTAGTTTTGTTTGTTTGTTTGTTTGTTTGTTTGTTTGAGACAGTCTTGCTATGCAGTGCAGGCCAGCCCTGAACTCACTATGTAGCCCAGGCTGGCCCCAACCTCGCAGTGATCCTCCTGCCTCAGCTTCCACAGTGCTGCAATTACAGGCATGCACCACCATACCCAGCAGGACACTTAATTTACATTTAAGTGAACACTAAAACATAAAGCAAGTGCCAACAGAACTAGGACATTCTGACGTCACCCTGGGCTACAGCCTCAAGCTCCCTCCTGAGGAGCCCAAGGTCTACAGCTGGGGTGCCACTTTGTCCACATATATACATGGACCTGCGTCTCCTGATGGTTCTCGAACTTCT